CTTTAAAAGAGTTATAAAGATAAAAATCCCTCTACATTGAATTAACGAGAATTGGAAAATTGCTACTTAGGCTTCAGCGCCACCTGTCATAACCTTGCCACTTATTTTACAAAGTTAGTAATGGTAATCATTTATAAACTAATCAAATATTTGCAGTTTAAGAAACATTCGAAATTCAACAACGATCTTTAAATTGTAACGATTGATAAACACTGATTCTAGTATAGTCCATGGCAAAAATTTTCTGATGTCATTACTACATTAGTTATTACATAATTTTGTGTAAAATCAATACAGTTTTTGTGTTAGGTACGGTCGACAGAAAATTTGTATTGAAATTCAACAACAAAGTAACACACTTTATGGTATTTTACCACAAAAAATTATGAACACAGATCGTATTCAACACAAATACACAATATTTTCTACTGTCTGTACAGTACAAAGTAGTGTTTTAGAAGAGAATGAAGTTAAAGTGCTTGGGACAGTAAAGAGCGCTGTACGTAAACTACTGGTTCTCTAGTAGAAATAATCAAGTTTTCACTCGATTTAACCCAGTAACTGGCCAGCGATATTGAGTAAGAACTAGAAATCGCGCCACCTACAACTAAGTCGTAAACATTGGTATAGAAATTAATATTTATTTATTTATAGATTTTTTATCAATCGTTGATTTACGTTAGATTTAATTGTTAAATTTAATAAATCAATCTTTTCATATTCCTGATCGATTGAGAATTTTTATTACCTCAAAACCTTCAATTCAAAATTGAGAGGTTTTTCAAAGCCACCATGTTTTAATGAATCTCTTGTGAAACTGGCCAGTTACTTGACAGAAACTCGATATTATACTGGCCAGTTTCTGGCTAAAGTCTAGTTAAACTGGCTGGTTACTGGCCAAAAACTCTATTTCATTTCTACTAGGGCTACTGTCTGCACATAACTGAGTCGTGCGCTGGCACTAATCAATTGTGTCTCATCCAGTACTCTCGAGTCTATATGAACATTTTTCTCATGTTTGTACGAAACATTAATCATTTCTGTTTTATTATCTCCGTATATTTATAGTCATATCAGGCTGCGTGAAAAGAAAAAATTATGTATGGGAATAATCAAGCCTTATTAGGAAATTTTTTCACGGGGGTTTATTATTGTTTTGATAGTCACTAAGACTTGAAACACTAGTCAAAATAAAAATATTAACACCCTTATGTCATAAGTGCAAAGATAATAAACGTATTTTTAAATATGTATACATAAAAAAAATCCGAAAAAATAATTATATATATAAAAATATCTTCCATTTTTTTATTTTTTCAAAAGTTTTATCTATAATTGACGCTAAAAATTTTTATTATTTTTTACTCTTCTGCGATTGTTAAGGTCATCTTGACATCCTAAAAAATTTTCAGATTGACATAAAGAAAAATAAGCCAAGATAAAAAGATATTTTCTGTTCAAATGAGCAGAAAAAATAGAAAACGAAAAAATCCCACTCTAAAAATTTTTGAAGTTTTGCGCACAATGTCGAAATTTTATATGAATAAAAAAAAAAAAAGTTTGAAAAATCCAAAAGTGCACGATTCATAATCCTCATTTAATTATAAAATATTAATAAAATAAAGAATGTGAAAAAAATATATAAAACAGGTAAATTAACACGATAATGCGCAAGCGCCTCTAATGGGATAAATGTACACAATATATATAGATATACAGTCTTCTGGGTTTTGTTTTATTTTATTAATTGTACATAAACGACACTGAATGACCTGGCCATTTGCATTCGCTGACCTACAATTCTTTCAACGAATTTAAAAAAAAAATTTAACTCAATTAATGCATTTTTTCGCAAGTTACAGTGTTTTTAGAGTTTCATACATGACGGACAGAAAAATTTTTTTGACCTATTTTGACGTTTTTTTCCGTTTCTATTGCACTAAATCAATTTTTTAAGAGTGTCAAATTAATCTCCATTAAATCATCTTGACAATAACATGCAAAGTATCTTGATTCCGTGAACTACCAAGATAATAATAATAAAAACCTCGAAAAAATCGTTGAGTATGGATCTGTATCATTTTTTTCCAAATAGCAGTCAACTTTTGAAAAAAAATGTCACCATAAGTTAATTTTTGACAAAGTTATGTATGTTCAAGTATTAGAAAGGCTTTTTTTTTTTTCAACAAAAAGTGATTTTTTTAACTTTCCGCAAATAAAATTAATAATTTTCCACTAAAGGGAAGTTATTGATTTCGGTCCGATTTTCGAAAGTCGAGTTTTCATCGGATCAGATATGTTTTGAGGTCCCTGGAAGTCGTTCTGACTATTCCCGTCGAGGTGTCCAGCCGCGCGCGCGCGCGCGCTGTGTGTGTGTGTGTGTGTGTGTGTGTGTGTGTGTGTGTGAATAAATTTTTGTCGTACGGTTTCTCAAAAACGAATCAACTGATTGAATTCTACGACACGTCATTCAAAAGGGTTTATCAAAATTTAGATCTGATTAGATTTGAGAGTTAATCCATCGAGCCATTCCGAAGAAATTAAAAAAAACAAAAAAAAAAATTTGAATTTCTGATTCTTTAAAATAACTTTGGAGCATGCAGAAAAATCATAATAAAACCATGTATACATTTTTTGTGCTTAAAAAACTGCGTCGAACACGTTTTTGAAAATGAAAATCGAATGACGCATTCAAAAGTTATAGTATTTTAAAAATTCGCAAAATTTTGTTTTTCGGTATTTTTTTAAGATGTCTTCGAGAATTCTCCACCAATCAATATAAACCTGCCCGTTTTCTTTTTGTGCTTTAAAAACTGCGTCGAACGTTTTTTTAAAAAAGAAAATCGAACCACGCATTCAAAAGTTACAGTTGTTCAATAAATATATTTTGAGTTCGAAGAGCTCAAAATGTAAAAAACGGTGCTTTGAGCTTGAAAAGCTCAAATATTAATAGAAAAACACATTTTAAAGCGCTTCAAATTCAAACTTTGTGAAAAGTTCTAGGGTTGTCCTGCGCAGTCAACCGGTTTCCATATTTTTTTCATCGGGTAATTTAAAAAAAATTTTTAGCGTAATCAAAAGGGGTCGGGCGCAAAAGTGGTCGATTTGGCGTGTAATGCACCATTAATAGATGATTAGTCTACACGGAAAAGAAAATTAGGAAAATGGTTGACCCTAACGGCCATCCCTGCAACGTCCCGCTAATTTCATACTTAAGGTAGTTCCAGCATGAAATCACATTTCAACAGATTCGGCTGAAATTTTTTTTACGGGTTCAGAATATCTTTATTTATAAATTCCTGAAATTTCATAATTTTTGACCGTTTAGATCGCGAGATAGTTAAAGTCAAAGTTGGCGATTTTGAGGGTCATGTTCCATCTAAAGCATGTAAAATGTCCGGTCTCTCCAACTATTTTTTATTATATTAAAAAATTCTCTCGACAGACTTGGAAAAAAAATTAGGAGAGTGTTGAAAAATGTTTTTAGAATAAGTTAAAAAAATAAAAATAGCACCTTACCGTTTCGTTATCGAGATATAATAATTTTAAAAAATAAATTTCGATCCATTTCTAACCTGCTCACTTAACAACTTATAATGATTTGGCAACGCTCCCTGAAATAGTGTAGCATAAAAAGCGGGAAATTCAAATCTTTCACGGTTTTCAAGAGCAACGTTGCCAGATCACTAGACTAACAACATGTGATTGTATGTGTGAACGTCTGTGTGCCGTGGCTTTTAAATTTTTGTCCATAGTAAATGCTCTGACTATACTATACACGCTGGAACTACGTTAAGCGCTCGAAATTGCACATATTATGTTTTTGAGCTCTTTGAGCTCAAAAATATGATGTTTGTGTCATTTTGGGCTCTCCGAGTTCAAAGTGATAGCTGTTTTATGCTTTTGAGCTCTTCAAGCTCAAAAGTCTGAAAGAAATTTAATAAAACGCTATTTTTTGAATTTTCAAACCACAATAACTTTTCAATGAATGAACCGATTTTTACACGGTTGGTGGCATTCGACGCAGTTTTTTAGAATTTTTAAGTTTAAATTGATTAACGAGATGAACAAATATTTGTCGTACAAAACATATATAAAATAAAATATAAAAATTGTAAAAGCGCACCATAAAAAAATATTGTAATAATAACAAAAAATAGCTTTCCGGATTACAGATATTTGTATTACATACGTAACGTATTATTTAAAAAGGAAATAATTAATTTATACTGAATTTATATGGGTAACATTCAATTTTATAGGATTGTGTGTAATTGTATATATATGAATACAATGCAGTCCATGAGTTAAGATACATTCTCTTTTTTCTACTATGAAGAAAAATAAATTATTCTAGTTAATAAAAAAAGGATGCGTATTATTTATTTACGTTAATAATTACTACTATTTAATTACAATCAGTATAATTTACAATTTTTTTAATTCAAATTATTTACACAAATAGTATTATATCATGTTTTATTTTATTTATTTAACAATGCACGTTCCCCTTTGTTAGTGTAAGATAAACAATTGACTAGATTATTTAAATAATATTATTTTATAATAACATTTATAATTATCTTAACAACTATAAAGTATTAATTAAACAAATTGCAAATTGATGTTGATCTGACAACAAAATTTGGACTTTAAATTGACAGACTTTCTTCTTGAGAAAAAAAAAAAAAAGCTATTTCTTTGAAAAGTAACCATACCTGAACCGATTTTAACATTTGAGTATAGAACTAATTACAATGCCAGTAGTTAAGAAATGTCAGAAACAATCACAATTAAAAAATAATAAAAAAAAAAATAATGAAGCTCAGTTCTAAACTAAAATATCAAAATTGATTCAGCTACACTTTCCAAGCAAGCTATTTTTTTCTTCACCTCTAGGACTAAATTTTAGTTATTGAGATAACTATAAAAAATTTCTAGATAATTAAATTTCAAAAAATAATTTTTACATTGATGAATTGCATGAATTAAAAATAAATTTAAGTAGATCTTGTGGCACGAACCATGTCACCAAGTAACCTTTCAACACTGACTTCACCAACTGTTGGTTTGAATAAAAGTTCTTCTAACGTTCCCCGACAAAGTGCACGCACAGGGGATAATAATAACAGCAAACGACCAACCCTACCGGCGCCTCGCTCTCCCAAAACTGTTACCGTCTGTTCCTGAAGAGTCAATACCCTAGCTGCGTCACCAAGTCCTCGAGATTCTGCCAATAATTTAATTTATTAAAAATGATTATTTCCTATAATTTCATAGAACAATTTAATGTAAGATACATATAGTGAACAACCCACCTCCTTTAAAGAGAGCTATTGCTTTCAAGCATGCATACTCTGAATGATCAACGCGTAAAATTGTAAAACGCGTTAATAATTCACGAAGTCGTCTTAATTCATCTGCAAGAATTTGCTTTCTCTCTGTTGGAAGAATCAATGGTACTAATATTGATTCGTCGATGGAAAAATTCCACTGTGCAGCTGTAAGAACGAATAATTCGCTCCACGATTCTTCTAATAAAATTGCTTGATCCCTATATGATAACTAAAATTTTTAGTTGTAATAAATTAAGAATAATTTTTTTAAAGGTTGGCCTTAAATAATAATTATGATTGTTACAATACAACGTTAACTTACTTCTAAAAAAGACGGAATACTTCTTGCCCATTTTACAGCTAAAAAAAGTAATCTTGCTGCTGATTCATAAACATTTTCTGTCAACAACAATGACTGATTAGAAATTCCATAGTCCGATAATGATGGATTCGATATTGAAGGTGGTATTGTAGGTACATTCATATGGTCTATAATCAAAATTACACATTGTATATTAGTTTAAATTATTTTTTATAAACAATTTATAACAATTAAATGTAGTTTCTTTTAATTTAAAAGATTTGAAATGGTGATTCTTATTTGAAGTCTAATAAAAAATGTCTGATTTATTTTTCAGTTCACTTTATTACTCAATTGGCAATTACTGCTTGAGCATGTGTTAAAAAAAAAATTTTTTTATCATTCCCTCAGTATTTAGCCCTATTTCCGCAATAGTAAGTCATTTTACCTTCAAGATACTTATCGATCTTACTCCCTCATAAAATTTTAACTTATAATGTCCGATTGCGTTTATATCACGAATAATCATTAGATAATGACTTCCTCTTTAGAATATTTTATTATACTCTTAAACAAAAAATTTATAACATGACATAGATTTTGAAGAAAAAATTTTATCATTGATTTAAAAAGAAATCTTTCGAAATAATTTTATCATTTTTATTTTAATTTATATAAACTCTTTTAAAAACTTACAATTTTACACCTACTAAAAATTTTTTCTCGACTTGAGTAAATTTTTCTCGGTTCTTTATAGAACTTTTCTGCTTGATGCAAAACAATAAATTTCTTCAAAATAATTTTACTAGTTCAATAACTTCATTAAAGTAGAATAATTTTATGATTAACTTTAAATTTATACCTTTTTGTTCGCATCTTTGAACGACAGTTCTCGCTTCTTCTGAACTTGTAACTTCGTCTTCCTTAGCAGCAGCCACAGTTAAAGGTTCTGCAATAGGTCGTGGCAAAAAGTGTGCTATTCAATGTGAAATATACGTATTTTTTACACAACTATTGAGAGCTAGTTTTTTTTTTTCATTTGAAAGTAAAAAAAAAACAAAACAAGAAAAAGAAGAAGAAATGTAGTAACTTACCGACACCGGGACTAAAAGTTGGTACACTAGGCTTGAACGGAAAGAGCGTTGGATATAAAAGCGGATGGTAGGGGTTGCTTGCAGTGTGATAGACATGAGAGATTCCTGGATAGATCGCCGAGGGTACTCTTCTCGCGGCGGAAACCAACGACGATGTACTTCTCGGTGCTCTTTCATGTTGTACAGCTGAAAATGACACTTAAATTTTTCTCTCACCCACAAATCACGTTTTTAAATCTACATGAGTAACGTTCTTATCTAAACTCCATTCGATGCAATATTTGCCATATACGTAGATTTTATGACATCCTTTTCGAAATATTTTTTTATTTTAAAAAATTTTTAACTTCTTATTAACCGGTAAACTAATGAATTACATAATCTAACGAAACTCTATTACATAAAAAAAAGTGTCTAATATCGCAAACTCAGAAAAAATTAGTTGATTTGTTCAAAATAAGGTAAAGTACCCAGTAGTTGAACAAGTTTCAAAGTAAAACGTATTTGACCCTACTTTTAATATATATAGATGTAATTATTAGTTCATCGAGTAATTTTCATGAAAATATAAACAATTTTGAATTGATTGAAACACAAAATAACAAAGATAATTTAATATTTATATTTTGACAAAGTTTTTAAGATAGACTATGAAAGGAGTAGTATATATAGTTAAACAATAAATTCTGATAAGCCGCAGTAGTTGAACTAATAAAATATATGGCAATAGGCACACCAAAAATTTTCAATGCTTTATTGAAACATCAAAAGAATTATAACATATTATTGAATAATATTAAAAATAATACTATGAATATTTAATATGTTCATTTAAAAATGAGAAATATTTGTATTTAATTTTTTAATTCCATTTTTTATGAATGACGAAGCAAATTTTCAATTATAAATCAAAAAAACTCAATTCGCAAAACGTTCAATAATTTTTAACTACATCAATTTTTCAGCTATAAAACTTATTTAATTTGCAGTAATTAATACAAATCACAATACTGATAAAACTAGTCTATAAACCTATTAGAGATTAGAGTGCTGTTAAAAATATACAGCCCCAGTTTGTTCAAGTTCTGGGTACCGCTTTGAAAATTTGGAGGTATAGTTAGACGCTAAAATTTAATATGAAAATTATAGTTATGTCTTTGTAAAAAATATCTATTATTTAAACAAGACTATTTTATTGGGTGGTACAATTTTTTTTACTTAAAATGATGATATGCCGTTTTTTTTACTGATTGTTCGGTTTACGGTTTAGTACACTTTTCATGAAAAAATAGCATCTATCGGCTATTCTCGAAATGTCAATTTTTAAGTTAAAACAAAAATGTAATTGTTTTGATTTATAATTAAAAAAACTTACAGAAATCAATTATTGTATCATTTAATAATTATAACATGTGCATATTACTCATAATAAATATACGGATTTTGTATTACAACAATTCGAAAAGTCTGTTCAAAAGTACTGGGTACTTTACTTTAGTTTAATGAAAAAAATAATTTTTATTATTAAAAAATTATGAAAAAAAATTTTTATCATTTAGAATTATACATTTTTTATATATTTATAAAGATTTTGTAAAAGCTTTCAAATCAAAAAGTCTTGGATTTGTTTGCCTTCGAATAAGGTGAAACCTCCAACCATTGATACTCTATATTAATAAAAATTTTTTTTTATAAATCAATGATCTAAAAAAAATCAACGATATTAGATATTTATAATTGCAATACAATAATTTTTAATTTTTAAATAATGGATGTCTATAGTGGGTCATTTCATTTTGTCAGGTTATCAAGGCGTATTCCGGTGATTAACTTTATCAGTTCGAAATTAATTATTAAATTTAAAAAACTATCATCAAAAACTAGAAGACTAATTTATCTAATAATGTTTCAAAAAATGTATGAATTTTGATTCTAGGTGTGTTGAAAAAATTTTAGTCCTTGCCATGTCAACAATTGATGCTTCTATTTTACATTTTCGATTAAAATCAACGTGTTCAATTAGTTGAACAATATTGTTCCGCAACTAAGCAAGTTCTATAATCCGAGTACAATCATCGATTTTACAAATGTTTAATAAAGAAAAATTATCTACTTTATAAGAACTCAAAAAAGTCATAGGTTATTTTACGTTATTAGTTTTAATATTTTTTTTCCAAGCTTGAAAAACCTACAAACGTATGGAAAAAATTATTTTTAAGCTCACCAAGTTTTTAAAATGAAAAATAAATTAAAAAAATATATATAAAACTCGAATTAATACTTGAAATATTTTTCAATTGCCGTTTTATAAATAAAGATATTTTTTCAGTAAATATAAATAAACTTAAAAAAAAATGAGAAAGTAGTTGTTTCAAGAATTATGAATGTTTGTAATGACATCGTACATTAAGTAATAGAATCTGTAGAGTCCCTACTATCCCATTAATTGATATCTCGGATACAATCAAGTGTTTAGATTATCACCCTTACGGACCAAGTGAAGAGACTAAGGATATTTACAAAGCACTGTGAACGTCAGCATGCTCGTGACACTCTATCAAGTGAGTTTGAAATCATCTATGACTCAAGTTTCATGTAGAAAAAGCTTTGTTGTTCTCTTTTCTATTATACATTTGTCAATATATGTATTTTTTTTTCGCTAAGTGCTCTGCGCTTCTGGTTTGTTGTTTGCCTTTCGGTGCGATGTATTCCAATGTAAATATAATGTCTATTTGAGTGTTACGAAAATTAAAAATAGACCACTTTTGATCGTAGCATAACTTGGTAATAATGAATTTATATAACAAGAAATTATGTTCTTAACCCGATAGATAACAAAAATAATGGTGATTATTCATTTAAAAATGATTGAAAATTAGTTATTTTAAAACTTTCAGTAATAATAAGTGATAAAAAATTTATAGCGTTTTAATTCAAAGAAATCAATAGTAAACGAATAGTCTTTTTTTCACTCAGTTTTGATGTGTAATTTCATTATTGTTTTGTTTAAAACTTCTAAGCACAAAATAACAATAACAATTGAAATAATATGTTTAAAGATAAACTATTTTTCATTCAAAATAAAAATGCATAACACAGACAATTGTCACATATCTTACGTACGATTAACTGATTTGAATGAGGCTTGCGACATTTGACGATAATTTTTTTTTTTTAATTAGAGGAACAATTTAAACTGAGGAACAAAATATTTTTTCAAAATATAAATAGAATTATTCTAATATTTTACTTTTAGATTAAAGTAACTAGGTTTAAAAATTCACTTTGAAATTGGAAAATTAAACTTCATTATCTTAACAAGATGCTACTTAAATTCAATTTTGTGAACATAAAAATAAAATACTTTCAGTAAAACATATCACTAAGATATTTTCAATTACGATCAAAACCAAAAATTATATCAAGGCTCGTAAAGCAGCAAAACTTATTTTACATGTAACATTAAGCATGTATGGATAACAGAAAGACTCTAATTAAACTTAAATTTATTTAATCACCTGTAATTTGAAACATACCATCTCGTTTCATGTTCACTTCAAGACATTTAGCAAATCTACAAGCTTGGCATTGATTTCTTCTTGAGACATCAACAATACATTGACCGTTTTCTTTGCAAACATAATCTAAATTTCTGTAATGTAATACAAAAGCATATTTTTTACTATAACCATATTAATGTCAACAGTTAAACAATTAATGTTATAAATATTTATTAGAGAATAAATTAAATTTTCTTAATTATATTGAATAGTTGCATATTTTATTCTTTCCAAATAAATAGTTCAATATCAACTTTATTTAATGTAACCATAAAATTAAAATATAAATTAAAAAAAAATATGTTTAATACCTCCCGTACAAAAAAAATTTTGGTTCCC